TTTTGTAAGGCAACGTTGGACCATTTCCTGGCATTTTTAAAATTGAGGACACAGAAGCAATAGTCCAGAGGTTTTTTTTTTTTTTTTAAAGAATTTAATATGAATTTTTACCCCACCTTTCTTCTCCCAGAATAGTATTTAAGCTTGGTAACAGGAAAAGAATAAAAAAGTACAGGTAAAAATTTAAACATTAAAATGTGATCAAATGAAATCAGTTTGGGACAAAAAGACAGGCGCTTGAGTATAAATGTTCTATAATAAATGTTGTATAATAAGCAACAACAAAGAAGCAGAATACGGTGTTTTTTTTTTGTCCTTGTGCAGAGCCCTCTGGAGCCTTCTACAGCTGAACACTTAGCATCTGGACATGAGGCCCTCCCACTCTGCTGCATGTCTAGCTCACTTCCCTTCAAAATGCTTAATTTTCAAGTCTGCTGATAAATGACAGGACATCTCAATAGTGAGGTGGGTGAGTTTATGTGAGTTCACATATAAGCACGCAAAAAACACCGCCACAAGTAAGCAACCTGTTCTTCTTTGTGGTCTCTGTGGAGTCACACAAATGGGTGATTACAAAGCTTACCTGAAGGAGGCAGGAAGAGGTGATTAGAACACAGTTGACAAATAAAGCTCTGCCGATGTGTGTCTCTAGATGACATATTGAATCCTTATGATAGTGGAGGAGAAAAATGAATGGCTAACTCCGGGTTGCCACTTTCCCAATTTTTGCAAGAGAATGCCTCAGAAAAAAAACAACCTATAGTGGCAACAGTGCCATTAACAGAGTGTGCATGGGCAGGGTGTGAAGTGAGTGCCAAGCTAGTTTCTAGTTATGGGCAATGGTATACACTACCTATATAGAAGGTGTTGCGGGGAGACATGGAGTCCCTTCCCTTTTTGTCCCACAGACAAAGAACCTGTGGGTACATTTCCAATTCTGAGTTCACATAACATAGGAAATCAGGGCATGGAGAATGTCCAAAGTGTGCAGCATTTTCTCTAAGAGAGTGGAAGGACTGCTGTAAAAGGTCAGCAAAGAAATACTCTGCAAAACGTGAAAGGTGGAAACTACTTTAGAGAGGAAGCATATGTCAGGCCTTAGGACAACCTTGTCATTATGAAAGACTGTAGAAAGAAGGTCTTCTCTCAGGGCACACAACTCAATCACTTTCCTGGCAGATGCGAGACTAACTTAGAAGGTGACTTTGGTAGAAAGTAGTCTGAGGTCTGCTCAGACTACTTTCTACCAAAGAGTTCAAATGGCTTCTTCATTAGATAATGAGCACCAGGGTGAGGTACCATGTTGGTGGTAATCAGGAAAAAGACTGTTCAGTCCTGAGGCTGCTAAATACACCTGGAGGGAACAAGTGTCTAGGTCTCTATGTTCTGACATCAGGAGGAATTTCAAGAGGTACTTGACAAGTACAGGAGCTAGGTCAGCTTCTGTTATTCCCAAGAGGGTTTGAAAAGCCATCAATTTGAGTCTATAGGATTTATTAGTGCTTGCAAGATGCTTGTGGTACCTGCTGAATGTCTGGTGAACAGGTTACTTGGGTTGGATGCACCGCACTGTCAGACACAGGGATAGGAGGTCATGTATACGTTGTGTAGTTACAAGGTTCAGCGAGGATGGGAACAATGGGTACACCTTGGATGATGTTAGTAGGAGAGGAGAAAACCATGGCTGTCATGGCCAAGGGGTTGTCATCAGGATATGTTGTCCTCTCTGATCTTAGCACTGACCTCTGTGATGACCCCTGTGGAAGGGGGGGGAAGGTATAGAGCAATGAGTCCCATTGGTGGAGAAATGTGTCCCCCAGTAATGTGGAGGACCTGTTGCCTCTGGAACAGAAGAGTTTGCATTGCTTGTTCCAGTCTGCCACAAATAGGTCTATGGAGCAGGTACTGATGATGGGTAACATGAGAGTAGACATGATATGTGTGCATGGCATTGACTTTCCTGCTGAAAATGTTTTGTGAATATTTTCTGACCAGGGGGTGGATATCCAGGGGTGAATACATCTTCAAATATACTAGTTCCAAAAGTGGATTATCATAGTTAGCAGGCATGTGGAGTGCATGCTGTCCTGCTTGTTCACATAACACACCGCCGTGTTGTTATCGGTGGAAATGTTGCCTCATAGTTTCTTGAATGCATGGATGGCATTGAAAACTGCAAAGAAATCTAGTATAGAATATTTTGATATGAAGCATTCTTTGTGATGATGACCAGAGTCTATGAATACAAAGGTGTTGGTAAAATGCTGCCCAACCCAAGGTAGAAGAGTCTGTGGTAATGAGAACTGTCAGTTTCAGGGAGCAAAAAACAAAAACGACCCTTGGCATAGGTTTTGTAGGGAGCCCCATCAGACAAGTTGGGCTTGAGAGGGAATTTATTCATGTTTTCCTGTGGAGAAGGAGTCACTGAGCCGGAGGCAGGCTATGGTGGATTTTGCCACTCTACTGGAGGATCAGAGGACCATGTGGTTTCCATCAAAGCTTGAGGGAGGGCTTTGTTAATCTCTTGCATGCCGCACAGGAATGGGTGGGATGTTGTTAACCCAGGAAAAACAAACTGTGGTTGTAGCCGCTAGTTAAAGGTATTTTATTTGCACAAATGACGCACCGCTTAAACGGGCCGTGTGAGGCCATAAAGAGCGGGGGGAAAGGCTTGAGAATGGGGGAAGCAAAAAACGCGGCTAGATAGAAATAGAACAAATTTACAGGGGAATGTCGATTGAATGTTTAGAAATAAAGAGGTAAAATTTGAAATACAATTGATCTGGACTCTCAACTGACAAATCGCTCTATTCTTCTAAAACACGTCTAAACGACACAGAGGGGAAAAAGGAACTGAGGGGATCTAGGATGGGTGGACCATGTGCCCCATGGGGGAACATCATGTGTCTTTAAGCTCTAGAAACTTCCGAGACATTCAGCACAGGCGCAGAACCACCCATTTGTGTGCATTCAGAGACCACGAAGAAGAACCTCTAATGGAGAGAGTGGATGATTCTCAGTGACATTGGAAGTCGGTGTTGGTAAACTGAATGGCGATTCTTGTGATACATCAGAAGCAAGGTGATGAATCGATGGAGATGATAAAGAAGATTAGTGTCAAGGTTTTGACATGGATATTTGCACAGGAGGCTGCACTGTCGGAACCATATGTGTGGAATGTCTCTCTGTATCAGTAGGTGGTGGAGGAGGACCCTTATAAGTAGTAGTAACTTGCAATGATGTTTGGGGAAGGTATTTAGAGGAATGCTTAGGACGCTTAGATTGAGAATATTGCATAATCGATGGATTTGTTTAGATGGAAGAGTTGTTTGAGTAGGTATGGGATGCTGAGGCTGGTGTTGATGTTGAGGAGGAGATGGAGAGAGTGACAGCGAGTACTGAGGCAGGTGCGGTAAAGTATAGTGGACTTGTTTAGGCTCCTCATAATATAGATGCTCTTGAGGATCCTCAAGTAGATATGGGTCATATTCATAGTATCTATCTCTTGTATCACCTTGAAATTGGTGCTGAGATGGTTGTGGATAATAATAGTACTCCTGATGTGGGGGGGGGGTTGTATAAAGCAGGAGATAGATGCCTTCGTTTCTCCTAGTGTTTTCTAGGAGAGTGATGAGATGAATTGGAGCCAGATAGTTCAATTAGAATTGCCCACCCTGATGATGTAGGGATCAAATGGGCCAAGGCCTGGCTGAAGTGAACATCAGCTGGAGAGAGGCCAACACTTGGTAACAAGCTACCAGCAAAGGCTGGAGCTTGGGCCAGAGGTAGAGATAGGTCGTCTCTGTCAGACAGAGAGTCCAGGGCATCTCTAGATGATTCCTCCAGAATGGGAGATGGAAGAGTTGGCTGCGGTGGATCAAACTGAGTGAACTTTGAAGTCTTTTTTGGTTTCTTTGAGTTGTCTTGTCTTTTTTCTTCTTCGAAGAATCTAGAGACTGAGTTGAGGTCTTTGACGCTGACTTCAAGGTGGACTTCGACTTCTCCTTATGATGGGGAGAAGGAATCAAAGTGCTGGAAGAAGCCATGGGTGGATTTGGCTGATCTGGTTGAGGGTCTGGAGACTGTGCACACTCCATGGAGGCCAGAGGTGGATTGAGAGATTTCTCCCAGAGGTAAGACCTCAATCTTGGTAGACGCAGTTCAAGGGCTGGTTTAGTTAGCCTTTTGCACGCGGAACAGAAGTGGGTAGGATGTTGTTCCCCAAGACAGAAGAGGGAACAGTTGTGACTGTCAGTTAGCGGGATCTTGTTTGCACAGAGAACGCACCACCTGAAGGGCCCGGGGGCCCCATAAAAGAGCAGGAAATTGAAGGGCCTGGGGGCCCCATAAAAGAGCAGGAAAGACAGGAGGGAAAAACTGTTGTGGGGGGGAAAGGGGGAATCAGCAAAATGGGGGTAGAGAAAAACTGGAATAAACTCACAGGAGAAACGTCAAATAAAGAAAGATGATTGAGTAAATAAATGATGATTCAAAAGGAAGTATAATTTAATATATCGGTCTATTTCTCCGAACAGGTCTGTTCAACATGATGGAAAAAAGGAACTGAGGGGATCAAGGATGGGTGGCGCATGCGCTCCACGGGGGAATGTCCCACTAATCATGTGTCTGTAAGCTCTAGAAATTTCTGAGAGGTTCAGCACCGGCACAGAACAACAAAATTGTATGCATTCACAGAGGCCACGAAGAAGGAAGTCTTCTCCCACAAAAAGTATTTTGAACAAAATGACTGAAAGCAATAAAACAGCCTGCTTAAACCAATAAATAAGTACACTGTGATCAAGCACCATTATATGCCTTCCCTAGCAATTTAATTAGCAGCCTTATGAGTGAATAGAGAGGTATGAGAAGTTTTCTATCAAAGACATTAGTTTCTTCATCAGAAGTACTTGGAAAAGGTGAATTTTATGGCAAGTGGAATAAAAAGATTAGCATTGCGACTAATGAACTGAGAACAGAACTTACAAAATGTTTTTTATTAAATGAAAAGAATCTGTTCTGTAGATCAAATATGAAATAGAATGTACAAAAACTTTACATCTGTTCTTTCAAAGAAAAAAAATTCTATCTAGAATTGGCTTATAGCCATTCTTTCCAAACATGACACAAAAGTGAATGAATGTTTCATGGCAGTACAATAACACACAGAAGTATCCTGTGAAAGAACAGTAATCACAGAAATAAATTTTAAAATCTAAACAGACTGCTAAAGAATACAAATAATCCACAAACTAACATAAAAACATGGAAGTCAATCATCATATATTCTTTTAGAAGCAAGTGGCAGGTCAGTCAAGTGCAGAGTTCACAAAGCTTGCATACAGCACTCTTAGTTCCTATACAAATATAAATGTTCCTTTCTTTTTAAAAAAAAACACAACTGTTTGATAACATCTCATTGTGAATAAACATATTCTGATCAGGATCTTCTAACCTGATCCATGCAATATATTTCTTACATCTTCTTCCTTTCTGAACCTAGGTGTCCAAAACAATCATGGCAATATTTGTAAAATGTTCAGCTGCAGATCTCTGCGCTACTCTCTTATACGAGAAGGCTCTGTAGAGCTCATAACATGTCTTTGGCATATCACACCATACCCCCTTTAATACTTTTCCTTTAAAAAATTATATATTCCTTTAGTAAAACACCTTAAAAACATCTATTTCAGATTTTGTAAAATAATGCCTTATCACCTCCTATGTTGCTTTGCAAAATATAGACCATATCTTGGGGAGGACAGGAAACACCCGCCACTGGAATTATGAGTGATTGAAAAAAGAAATACATAATTATAAATTCCCTCCCATATGTAGGCTACATGAAGTCATTCAGTTCAGCTTCCAGTGCTGCCGCCATTTCGTCTGCTTCTGAGCTGCTGCCCTCCTCATCTTCATTGCTGGATCCTTTACTTGATTCACTGGCAGCATCATCTTCATCTAGCTTTCTCTTGTGACCCCTGCATATATTAACAGAGATAGCAGTCCTTATTTAAACACTATTCTTAACAGCTCTTCGGAAGAAATAAACCAACAAAAAGCAAGATTTTGTAAAAGTTTGTTGAAGAAATACTGAAAATCATCCTCAGTTGACAAGTAAGCATTTGTTTAAGATTATGCATTGCTTACAAAACCATATTTTTTCTACGTACTGAGTACTTTCTAAGTACTAAGTGGTGAGATTAAAAGATACAACAATCCTTGACCACATATGTACAAACCAATTTCACAACGTACCAAAGGGGAAAAAAAAACCCAGGAAGGGATGAGAGAAGAAAATACAGGTACCTATTTTAGAAAGTACATCATTTTGGCAGGATCATTTGATCTGGATAATTGAGTCACCCTCCCTGTAATATATAGAGCAGATATAGGACTACTGGAAAACTGCAGAGGCCAGTGTGCACTTCCCCTTAGAGCTGCAGCCCTATGGCAGGTGAGGGACAGAACAAACCTGTAGAAGGCATCAGAAAGAACCTGTGGCTAACGTCTGTTGCTTCCCATGCTCTACTGGTTTGTTGTAGTTAAGGTTCTTGTCCTTTTTGCTGGTTATTTTCCTCTCACACTGATCTCAATGGGGGAGGGGAATAATCGATGACTTCGATGACACTGTCCATCCATCTCGTTGTCCCCTTCTCCTCTTGCCTTCACACTTTCCCAACATCAGGGTCTTTTCCAGGGAGTCTTCTCTTCTCATGATATGGCCAAAGTATGGAGGACTCAGACCAGGGTATTATTGGGCTCCCTTAGAGGTTAGCAACAGCTGGGCCCTTCATTGGGCTCTCTGGTAATATGATGGGGGGGGGAACACACATAAAATCACATTTCCTTAAATTACCAAAGTCCATATACACTGTGCTATTAAGCTGGCTGCTGTTTAAAAACTCACCTCCCAGAGTCTGCTCATCCTTGAGAAAATATTCTGGTCCAGTCAACCCTCGACTTACGAACTTAAATCCGTTCTGGAAGTCAGTTTGTAAGTTGAAAAGTTCTTAAGTCGAAACCAACTTTCCCATAGGAATGCATTGAAATTTAATTAATGCATTCCTATGGGAAAAAAATTAAAACAAAGTCACTTACCAGGTACTGATAAGTGAGCCCGGCTCCTCACAGTGCCTTGGTAGCAGCCATTTTGTGCTCTTCTCTGCTCCCCCCCTATCCCCGCCTGTCAGCTGATCGGCGCTGGGTCTTAAAGGCTTTCCTGGGCTTGCTCAGCAGGTAAAAAGGCAGTGCAAAAGCACCCAGGGAAGCTTCTGAAAGTGGGGATTTGCTGTGGGGGGGCAGCCCCCCCACGGCATAGTGCCACTTTCAGAAGCTTCCCCGAGTGATTTTGCACTGCCTTTTTACCTGCTGAGCAAGCCCGGGAAAGCCTTTAAGACCCAGCGCCGATCAGCTGACAGGCGGGGATAGGGGGGGAGCAGAGAAGAGCACAAAATGGCTGCCGGGAAGGCAGGGAAAAAGCTTGAAATACAGTGGTGCCTCGCTTAGCGATTGCTCCATTTAACGATGAAATCGGTTAGCGAAGACTTTTTTGGAGCATTTTTGTGCTTCATTTAACAATGGTCCCTATGGACAATTTTCGCTTAGCAATGTTCGGACCATGCTTCGCATAACAATTAAATTTTTGGGTCCCCGGTTTCGCTTAATGATGGTTTGAACAGCTTCATGTTTGCTGTTTATTAAATGTTTTTCTGTTATTTATAAAGCTAAAGTTTACTGTTTAAAATGTTTGAAATCATAAAGTGCTCTTAATAAACCCTTTGTTAACCAAATTTGACTTTGTTCTGACTCTTTTTAAATTTGTTGTTGTATTCCCCCCCCCTGAGATGCACTGAATAGGTTTCAATGCATTTCAATTGGGGAACCGCGTTTCGCTTAGCGATGTTTCCTATGGCAATTTTCGCTTAAGGACGGCAATTCATTCCTATTGGAACAGATTATCCGGTTTTCAATGCATTTCAATGGGAAACCACATTTTGCTTAGCGATGAAATCACTTAGCAGCGATTTTTTCGGAACGAATTAACACCGTCAAGCGAGGCCCCACTGTACTCTAAAAATTGTGGTTTTCCCCTGCCCCTGGGAGGCTTCTGAGAGTGGCGCTTGCTGTGGGGGTGGGGGCCGGGGGCGTGGGGGAAGGGAGGTTCCCTGCCTTTCCTGCACGTTTTTTGCTCGTATCTCGAAAAGAGTTCACAAGTCAAGTCCACTTTTCCCTAGTAGAGCAGTTTGTAAGTCAAAATGTTCGTATCTAGAGCCGTTCGTAAGTCGAGGGTTGACTGTAAATCTATTTGTGATATTTGAGATGTTTCCCCATTTGCTGGGAGGTGATCGCCTTTGTTCTCTGATACAGGAGCTGATGAGGGAAGTACCCTGGATTTGGAGGGTTCTTTGGATATCAGAAAGTCTGTAATTTTGGGTTGTCATGCCTTCTCCATTACCAGGTTATGTTCACTCCTATCAGTTTGGTTAGTGATATATCTTCGGGTGTCACGTTTCCAGGGGTTTTAACAGGCAAAAGTCCAATAAACCAGTCCAATATCAGAAGTCCACTAGATGCAAAACAGATACCAAAATGCCAGAGCCAAAACACAAACCGTAGTCAGAAGTCAGAGTCCAAAGTCAAGGGTCCAGAAGACAAGGTCCAAGATGAGCAGGAGTGTGAATGTGAACCACAGGAATTGACTTGTTGCTTCCATGAGCTTCCTAGCCTTCTGGGAGCTGATTATATAGCAAAATAACTGAACTGCTGGAAGCCTTTTCATCCTGTCAAAACTCAGGACTAGCTGACCGGATGTTTTTGCGGGCAGCATTCAGGCGATCCTCTGACCTTTGTGTCATATGTCTTTGCCAAAGCCTAGCCCTTATCCTGGCTACTGGGGGAGAAGCATCTGGTGGTGATTCAGCTGTCTGTGCTTCTAATTGCTCAGCATTCTCCTCAGCTACAGTTGACCCCTCAGGTTCCAGATCTTCGGCTGAACTCATGACATCGGTGGAGTTCCAGAGGGGAGATGGCGGTAATAATGTCTCTATTCCAAAGCTGCTTCTGGTACA